GCCTGGAGGTTGAAGGCCATGCGAGCTGGGGTGTGACTGTTTCAGGGCACTGGATGAGGATGGCTACATCTGGGGAGCTGAGGAGGGGACATGGAGGGAAGGATCATGCAGTCTCACCCAGCTAGACCCTGACTCAGGATGTGCAGGTTCTGGCTGGACCTATGTATGACCTTTATCATTTTTGTGATATTAACAAGTAACATAATTTGGCTCAATTTTCATGTCATTACACACAAACTGGAATAGTAATAGTACCACCTGCATAATATTTATGACTATTATATGAGATAGCATCCATTAAGTGCCTAACATGTAACTTTCAATCAATCAAGTGATACTGTAATAATGCAATAATAACTTCATTAATAGTAATAATGATAATCAATAGCAGTAGTGTTGGGCCTTTTGAACTCTTGTTATACTTTATAGTAGGACTTACCTGCGTATTTATGTTACTAAAATCTCTCTCTCTGGTTGAATCTGTAAGAGACGCACATATTTAAGGCTTACCGAGTTGTTGTGTCTTGACTGTTTACCAAATAAAACCTGAAAATGAACACCTGGAAGACCACAGCACCAAGAGGAGGAAAAAAGGCATAGGAGATGATGGGCTCACTGGGCCACCTTCCCGTGTCTCGTCATTTCATACACATAACCTAGAAGGGACAGGCAGTTGACCCAGGAATTTTTGTTGACTTTCACTGATGTTTTCCTGGGCAGTGATGCTGAGGGAGGGAGGGGGAGAGGGGCTTTGAGACTCCTGGGATGTGAGTCTTCCTAACCCTCAGTGCAGTTTTGTCCTGCGGGATCCATAATTAGACTTCTGTAGTTGAATCCAAGCCAGGCGAGTCCACGCCTTTGCTGGGCTGCTGTCAGTCCTCACAGGCTGACCCGTCCCCTTGTGGGAGAGCCGCCCTTGACGTAGCAGGGAAACTGGATGTCTGTGTTCCTGGATCTGAGCGCAGCGGCACTGTCCAAGGAATACAACTTGTTCCCGTCTCACAAATGTGAGTCCTGCCGTGAGTCAGGACGTCAGCTCGCGTCCATTGCCGTCATGCTCTTGTTCATCCTAAGGGACAATTGTACTTGTCCTGAGGTCCAGAGGCTGAGTTGAACGGTTGCACATCACAACTGGAATAAGAGAATCAGCAAAGGTCCATCCATGACAGCTTCATAGAAGTTGCCGGCACATGTGGGTTGTATAAAACTCAGTCCCTGGATTAAATCCTCAGCAACATTTAAAAATAAAACTTGGAGTTGACCCTGACTGCTTGTCTCTATGATCCCAGCATTCAGGAGGCTGAGACAGAAAGTCAGTCTGGATTCCAGTGAGTTCCGGCCTAGCCTAGACTGCACAGTGAAACTTTGTCTCAAAACAAAAGCCAAAGAAAAAAAATTATCAACTACCATAAAATGAAATGAACAAAACAAAACAAAACAAAACAAAACAAAACAGGCCAAGTCATTATCTCTTTTATTTGATATTGAAGTAGTTTCTGGTTATTTTTTTTTTATTTACTTGTTTCTGTATGCCTCAAAGAATTTTATCTTAGCTATTGGCTAATGAATCAAGATTGATTAAATTAACTTCCCAACGTTCATTTTAAATATGAGGCAAGTAACTGTGTTCTCAACCTGATGAGGCGAGCTATATAAAAGCCCTTACTTCAGATCTAAAGGAAGCCCTCACTGAGGGATGCTTAATATTCCCAGGAACCATGGCCCATTGACTCTGTCATTGTTGGCAATTCGCCTTGGCTCTGTCTGTCAGACTTAGGCTGCCCAACATTATAACAAAGTGTAGCCAAGAAAAGTTTCCTGTGTGGAAATAGAATTTGCCATGTGCTGTTCACACAAAATAACTGTCGCGTTCTTTGTTCCTCTTCCAGTGTACCAAGCGGTGTGGTGGAGGCATGCGGACAAGACTGGTGGTCTGTCAGCGGGCCAACGGTGACCGGTTCCCAGATTTGAGCTGTGAAGTTCTTGACAAGCCTCCAGACCGTGAGCAGTGCAACACACACGCTTGCCCACGAGACGCTGCGTGGAGTACTGGCCCTTGGAGCTCGGTACGGCCCTAATGCTGCATGCTTGTTACCCAAACTCTCAGTGTTATAATATTCTGGGGCATGCCTTCACAGCCAAGAACTGTCACGCCCGTGAAGGCGTCCTAGATACTGTGCTATGAATGCCCGGTTACCTTCTCTCTATTCTGCCATGGTATACTTTATACCGTGTGAGACTGCCAAAGTGACGTTATAGAATCCATATACCTCATGCAGGAATGGTGCCAAGAAGTAGCTTCCTTTGCCTAGAAGAGCTGTATGTGTGTACAGTGATAATGATTTAGAGAAATGGCTCAAAAGTAGCCAGTCTTTGCTTTCTAAGCTGTGGTAGCTCTGACTATTGGAGCAAGGTTCCTGCTTATTGAGGCCAAGGCCTTTTTTTTTTCTTCAACTATTATCATTTGCTTCTGCAAGGCTTGGAAATACTTTAGCATACCCCGCATAACGTCTAGAGCCACCAATAGCTAGCAATTTTGGAAATATTGGTGACCAGCCGCGTAACCAGTGACCTGATACCTTCTGAGGTATCTGGAATCTCTTCCCTGCCCCCAGACAAGAAGGCCATCTGAGATCAGCTTTTACTTTGCTCCTTGTTTTCCTTAGGCAGTAGCTGGCACGGCAAGGCAGGTTTGTCACTGTATATGCAAACTACTGGGGCAGCTCTTAGCAAACAGATGGACTAATCGCTTCAGCACAGTTCCTAGGCTAAGCTGTGACAAAAAATTATGAAGCCAGTAGGTCTGATGTATTTAATACAGTAAATATTCCTGGAAGCACATTCATTGCGATGAAGCTGAAATCAGTATTATATAAAGTCACTTCCATATGACTTTTTATTCAGACTTGTCTTGGAAGGTTTTACTCATTCCCAATGCCAGGTGAAAAGCAGGTTAGCTGAAGTAGCTTGATTGACACCCACTGATGCGTCTCAAAGTCAGACTTTCGGGCATCAGTGGCTGCGTCGGCAGGGCTGGTTCCGTGCCCCAGTTAGCCGCAAGACTTCTGTATGCAGTAGAGAACTGGGAGAAGAAACAGGAGCTCAAGTTGTGCTCTTTCACTAGGCTGTGGGATTCATCCCTGGGTTTAAGAAAAGTCACAGCGGCACATCTGTGGTTCTCTAAGGATATGGTGTCTTCATCGCTGGCACCTTTCCAGATGCATGCTGTGAAGAAGGTCTGAAGTAACGTTAGGGCAGACAGGATGGCCTCTGAAAATCCCAGTGTCTCTGTCACTGCTGCTTACTACTGTCCGTGAAACATTCCCGCCCGAGCCCATGGCTTGTTCACTCTGTGTACAGGCGACACCAGAGCTAATTCCCCCGGGTCCCTTCACACTCTCAAGAGTAGTGTGTCACTAGTTCTAACGTCACTGGTTACACTGCCGTGAGAACCTCCTCATTGCATAGTCTTGTGGTTGATGAAGAAAAGAAATCTGTGTTTTCCTTCTCTAAATATTAACCCTTAGATCCCATACTTTTCTCAAATACATTTTTAGGAAGATAGAAAAAGTGTATTCATAAGGAGTTATAAATATAGTCCTGGGGATGTGTCTGTGTATATGCACACACACATATGTGTGTCTGTACATACATATATATGCTAGTTTCTTTTTCTGAGATGTTCTGTCAGTATATCTCCTATTAATAATTTAATAGCTTAAATCTTTAAACATAAGCTGCTGATTGTTTTAACTGAAAACCTGGGGCATATTTAATATTGCTGTTCTTCTTGGGGCTACATATAGTTTTCTAAACTATGAGAGAGGAAGAAAAGACAGTAAAAGTCCTCTGTACTCCAGCATATGTAGACATAGATTTTAAAGCAAGCTCTACTGCCTGTGTGATCTCATAAAGCGACTGTTAGTTTGACTTCCAGATTTCAATTCTACTGTCTTAAGAGAGTGTCCACTTTGGCAAGGCTTTTAAACTGTGATTTTTTTTTTTAAAGAACTAAATCAAAAGCATTTTGTTTTAGTAGATAGGCCGTTTAAATAGATGAATTTTATGTACATAGAAGAGAGCAATCATTCGGACTCTTGCTATAGCATTTTGGTTTGGATTATTTTATGTTTATTTAATGGATGTTTTGGTATAATGTCTTAGAACTTCTAGATTTCAGCATACCTCAATGACTCCTGTTTCTAGCTCTAAAGTCTTTCCTATGGTGCTTTCCCACTGTGGCTACAGTGAAGTTAGCAAGTGGAGGAAAGAAAGACGAGAGACGCACATTCGAGGTGCTAACGTCTCGCTTCCAATAGAGCGCAGGGCAGCAATGACTTCTCCAGCAGGTTGCTTTTGCTCCCAGGGACTCCCACACTTAGACACTGTCATATCACAAAGCAGCTACAGCTGTGGGACACAGCCAAGGTCAAGCGGAGACAGCTTACGTCAACACTGCCTAGAAAGGAGTAGCATTTGAGAAAAAAACCCAAATCATTGTTGCCACAACCCCCAGAGTCTCCACAAACAACCCTTTTAGAGAGACCTTGGCTCTGACTTGAGTCACAGCAGGTCTATGACTCATTATTGTAACACTGGTCGCAGCGGCTCACATCTGTGACCCAGTACTCAGGAGACTGAGTCAGGAGGATCACCTATAGTTTGGGGCCATAATAAGTTCCAGCATAGCCAGAGCTACAAGACTCTGCCTCAAAAAAAAAAAAAAAAAAATCCTGCAAAATTTTCTCTTTTGGCCTTTTAAAAATTACGTCCCTGGACTCTTGCTTTGTTTAAGAAACAGTGTTCTTCAGCTCTGTTGAACTATGGAACTATGGAGCCAGTCCTAAAAACACACTGAGAAATAAATATGCCTGTCCCATGACACATGGGACAAGCCGGACAGAGAACTCTCTACTGTCAAGGGAAGCAAGAAATGTCCTACAAATCAGGAGCATTCTAGACTGAGCAAATGCATCCAGAGCAAGAAAGTGGTGTCTGCCACTGCCACCGCCACACCCCCAGGGTAGTTCGGTGGCATTTGTTTTTGCATTGCCCTGTATTTCTGTTCACTGGTCTCTTGTAGATAGTGGTTCTTCTCTACAGAAATTGCTTGTTTGGGTGTTTTCGTGGCAACTCAGTGTATTCACTGAGCCTTTAAGAGCTGTGCTCATAGCTCTGAATGATGAGAGGCCATGAGCGGGGAAGGGGACTATGCTTGTGTTTCAGCCTGGCCAACTTAAGGATTTGTGTCTACCTCATTTTCATATCACACTGTGCAGTGCCTATAGGTAGAAAGACGAAAGGTTTGACGTCAGTGTTTGACAATCTCATTATATCGTGAATCAAAGGTCATAAATATCACAACCGTATTTTCTGGAAAATAGTTTTAAGCAGTCACATTTACGTATTTCTGAATATTTTGGGTGGTACAGATTTATATGTCTTTATATAATAAAGCGTATTTATTTTTCCAAGTTATTTAATTTCATAAGCAATGTCTAAAATCTAGTGTGTGAGAGCTGACTATGAAGGCAAATATAAGATTTAGAAGTGAAAGTATGTTTCTTTTGATTAATATATATATATATATATTTAAATTTTGTAAACTCGCTCTATCACCCCCCTCCTAACTCCAAGTAGCCATGTATTAAATGTCATGATGGCTGAGCTGAAGTGTGCGTTTGAAAGGTTAAAGGTTAAATCAGTTCTGAATTAGAGATGATGAACAGAAATCTGTGAGGCTTAACCTTGCGTTGGGTAGCTTTTCCTTTCCTGATAATGTTGTCTTGATTCATTGAGTTTCAACTATGAAATCAGAAAGTTTTGCTTACTGAATTTGAAGATATTGAAAAAAAAAAAAACCCACCCAGAAGACAAAGAAAGATGGGCTAGAAGAGAAGATTCCGAGACAAAGCACTAAAGCGTCCACACTGGGGTCCACCTGGTCTCTGGCCAGACAACGGCAGAAGGCTTCCGTTTGTTATTTTTATTTGTTCACCTTCGATACACTTCAAAAAGAATCTATTATTAAAGACAAATAAATATTATAGCAATGAAGGTGGAAGTTCCAAGGCAGCCTCCCCTTTGCCAAAATATGTATTCAGGTGATTATGCCTCGATCCATCCTCCACGTCACCCCCTTGCTGGTAGTAGTACTTGACACACACAAAAAACTCCAAAATGAGGGGAGGGGAGAGCTACTTGTATGAGTTAGAGGTTTATAAAGATGTGACAAAAAAAAATAGCATTGCAAAGTAGATAACAATAACCATAGCTAACCTTATTGAGCATGTCTATGGGCGCCAGCCTTTTTGCTGTCCCGTGAGGGGACCACTGCTACACCACATTACATGTTACTATAGCTACACCACATTACATGTTACTATACATTAGTGACAAGACTGCTCGTGGCGGCTGTCCACTCCATTAATCCTGTTTTGAGAGACATGAAACAGGTTATGTTCGGTGAGTTATGAGACCTTTGCTAAGAGATTCCTGAAATTCAAATACCATCCTCCCTGAACAATGCTAGACTGATTCCGACACTGTGCATTTGAGTCCAATAACAGAAAATCCTAAATTATTGCTGCTATTGGCAAGTTCCCATAATCAGATGTTTCAGAAATGTCATGTAAAGGCAAAACAACTCTTTCTTTCATGTTACAGAGAAATTTTTGGTCAGAGTAGGGCAATTATGTAAGATTTCAACTTTGAAGAAAATGCAATTAAATATAAAAATGTAAATGATATTTTTCCTAAATGAACTCGAGTCTTAAACACACACCTAGCCTTTTAAAAACAAAAGATCCTCACTACCTGTTGGCTTTATTTTGAGGCAACATCTTGCTGGAGCCTAGGTTGGCCTTGGATTTCCTGGCCCTCTTCCTCAATCTCAGCTAAATAGTTATTGTTTTGGCTTTTTTTATTATTCAAAAGACCATGACATAGAAAAATCACATTTTCACTAAGTTCAATATAGATTAAGACAAACTATAAAACACCTCTGTCCAGTGTTTAGAGCCATCAGAATGCTTGTCTGCATCTACTTATTGAAAAAGAAACTCAACAGACTGTAAATATTGCTTATCTGTTGATGATGGCTGTGTGACTGTGTCACCTCTGTGGACAGCTGTTTCATCACATCTTTTGACAGCTTGTTCAGGGTGGCTTAGCAGATCTCTATTCTTATGTATTTACAAAGCCCAGAGATGGGAGGACGTGCTCTCAGGGAAAGCTATGCCCTCTACCTGACTCAGGAGTTGTCTGGCCAATGAGGAGAGGGATGAAAACACTGGAATGTGGAGGGGGAAGAAGGGGTTACATCCAAGAGTAATTGGCTGGGGGGGGGGGGAATCCTGGACATCAGCAAAGACTTTTTCCAGAAGGTTCGTCTTGGGGAAGAATATAAGGGATTAAAGATGTCACCTTGATATCTTCCAAATAAAAGCCATTCATTTCCCAGCAGATATTTTCGGTGCCTATTGTGGGTTGGGTCCTGTTACACACATGACAGGTACAGGTACAGCAAGGACCACGTCAGAGTCGTGCTTTACAAAGGACAAAGGGAACTTTTAGCAAAAAATGGAGAAATTCAAGCTCCTGTAATCAAAGACTCAACACTTCTTTGGCTGGCAGCTCCATCAGCTAAAAATAAAAGAATACATTGCTACTAGAACCCACAATTTCACTGTTGCTGATGATATTCGCTCAATAAAAAAAAATTAGCAATCCGATTAGATGTGAAGTTGTCCAATCATTTTAAAATAAGACACCCAACACTGTGGAAGCAGAACCTTAGTTGTTATTGTTGTTTTGTTTTTGTTTTTTTAAGTCCTGGCCTAGAGTCTGCCCACATTAGGTCCCTAATGTGACTGATTGGTCTGGGCTCCTTCTGGGGAAGTTGTGCTCTAAGGGCACAGATCCCCTTTGTTATTTAATAGAGGCCAATAAAAACATCTGGAGCGTGTGGAGTGGGTGCTGTCTTCCCTGCTTCTTACCATTCCCTTGCAGTGGAATTGTTGTTGCGAACAGTTTTAAAACCCTTTCCAGAGTTTGTAAACTAGAAAATTGGCAGCTAAAACAAATGTGTACAGTTAGCAGTAAATAAGATAGAGCACACACTGGCTTAGTCCAGAGCCCATCATTCCTGTCCAGATCTGCAACCCATTGGTCCTCTGTGGAAGAAGTTATGCCTTGATCCACAGACCTACAGCATCTTACAGTGAGGAAACTATTCTGTGTTGCTGGTTTCCAATATGAAAGTCATTGGTAATATGTTGCCAACACTAGACACATACATACACATACACACACTGGTGACACAGGCCTTTAATTTCAGCAACAAGGGAACTTGAGGCAGGAGAATCCCAAATTTTGAAGGCCTTGGCTTCCAGGCAAATTAAAGGTCAGCCTGAACAGCTTAGCCACACCTTTTTACAAAGATTCTCTGGAAAGGTTAAAAAGTAGTTAGGGATAAGTACAGCTCAGTGACAAAGCATGTTGTAGCTGGGACTGGGCCCAACATTCTATCCCCACACCAGCCAAAACAAATCCCAAACACATATAATGTAAACAAGGGGCTGGAAGCCTCTCTTTTAAGGGTATTAATTTATAAATCTATTAACCATAGTCACCCTAAAGACTGCAATACCAGATGGACAACCTGGCAACAGTGCATATTTAACAATTAGTTATAAACTAGACAAAATCAAATTTATAAAAGTAAAGGGAGAAGACTCCTGTGTCAGCACCGAGAAGCCCCTGCACAGCATGTCTCCGGTAACTAGTCTTCTCCTGCCCTTCTTGGAGTTTGTGCTTTTGTTTTACAAAACATCAGTGGGCCACAACTGGGCATTAGAGAAAAGCAGGGTAAGGTAAAGACAGACAGTCAGAACCAGCTGTGCTGGGAGGCATAGCTCCAGCTTTTCATCATCAAAGCAGCTGTTGAAACAAACGCTCCTCTTCTGTGGCTGAGCATTCAAGTTCGCAGTGGCCAGAAACTCGCTAAAGGAGACAGTCTGTGTGTGCCATGGGTTGGAAGGGCCAACCCTGGTTGAGGCCTTTAGCGAGAAGGTGATATTGAAAGCTCCAGGTAGACTCTGAAATTCCAAGGGATCATTGTCTCCTTGAGGGGAAAGCTCTAGGAAGACAGCTTTTTCCAGAGTCACTGAACCCAGCAGGTGACATGGAGCAGATTAGCTTGGCAGGACTCCATTTCAAAGACACATGGGGGACTCCAGAGAGGCGCTGATCTCTCCTTTGTTATCATCGCCTCTGCAAACCCCAGCCTCTGTGGTGTTAAGGAAACCTCAATGAGTCCATTCACAGCCACGCCTCAAATTGACAAGCCCCCCCCCCCCTCCACCAAACTGAAACACGTACAAAAGCATCCTCTGCAAATTGACTCACGGGGTCCTCAATTAATTGCCATTCTCAGTGTCCAGACATAAAATCCTCCATGCACACATTTTAGGGAGGCATCCTAAATTGAGATGCCATCCAGAAGGTGGGCTATCTAAACATTGGAACAAGAAAAGATTAAAGCAATTTTGCCCCTAAGCCACTTCCAAAACATTAAAAACAAACAGACAAAAAAAAAAAAAACCAAAATGACCTGATAGTGTGATGGTTGAGGAAAAGACGAAATGGTCATAGCCTGTATGTAGGTGAGAAGGCAGACACAGGTAGCCAGAGAGCTGACGGGATGAGGGAGCTGTTGATGTTGGTGGTCGGGGAACTCTGGATGAGGTGGGGAAAGGGAATGTGCATTTGAAATTCCACAAAATTCTTAAACATCTATTTAAATAAATATGTTCATATTGCCTTTTCCTTTACAAGGGGAAAAAGAGTAGATCTGGATTTATTACAAAGCATTAAACTTGGAAAAATTTTAGGGGGCATTTGTCATCACACTTTGGCCCTGCAGTGACAAAGAAAGGGGTCTTGCCCTTCCCACCCAGGATCCAATCTTTCCTTTCTCGCTTTTCGCTTTCTTGCTCTCTCTCTCTTCCTCCCTGCACGGTTCCCTCTGTCCTGTGCAACAGAAATAAAAGGCCTCTGGGCATCTGAAAGTTGCGCCTTTTATGTCTCCCTTCCCCAGGGAAATCCCAGCTTTCTTTCAATGCAATCCCTACTCTCAAATTCTAATACATAACACAGGCCCCCCTTTAACTCACCCCTACCCGAAGCCTACCCGAACAAAAGACTTTTTTCCCCCAAACTTGTGTGCTGTTTGTTTTCTTTGAGCTTAGTCAAAACCCCTCGCCCAGCCAGCTTACCTGTTGTGCAGTTCTGCATGCAGGACACTGAGAAAGCCATGTTCCCTTCTCCGTGGTTGCCTTGAATCAGATGTGACCTAAGAATCCCTTAGATGGCCAGTCGTCAGCTGATGTCAGGGAGAAATGTTGTCCCCTAGAGCTTGCTACTGTAATTGAAATCCTGTTAAATATGTTCCAAGGGATTCCGTGCTGTACAGGACATGTCCTTAAGAGAGAGAGGCTCCCCGACTTATTGACCCAAGTCCCTAACTTTGCAGCAGTGATACCCACATGGCTCTATAACCTCCATTTATCAGGAAGGCTGTGAGCCCCACCCCCTCAACATCTATTCAAATCAAGCCAGCTCAGGGAACTTGAAGGACTTTCCAGGAGCCTTAGGATAAATCAGTGATTCTCACGTGGGACTGATTTTATCCCTCAATGAACCTTTAAGCAAAGTCAGGAGACACTTTTGATAGTTTCTTCTGGGAGTGGAGGTTCTCCCAGCACCAAGCAGTTGAAAGGGGAGTGGTATTAATCATACAGTGAAGACAGGACAGCCCAGCAAAGTTTTACTTCACCTAGTACCTCGAAAGAGGGCTAAAATGGAAAGGTCTGGTATATATTAGAGAGAGAGAGAGAGAGAGAGAGAGAGAGAGAGAGAGAGAGAGAGAGAGAGAGAGAGACCTTCCCATTGAAAGTCTGACTGATGGAAGAGCTATTGGAAATCCCTCTCCAGAGAGGTGACATTCCTGTCAAACAACATTCTGAGATCCTAGGAAGCCATCCCTATCTGTCAACTCCTGACAAGATTAAGCTGAAAGTAGAAGTCTCCAGAAAGTAGATTGTCTAGCCAGACTATGGACTTGCAAACCAGGAAAGAGTGCCACTCATTCTAGAGGTTGAGCGCACAGGGGGCACACAAGGGTACGGGTGAGTGTATATATATTGAAGTGGCCCATTAAGGCGAGAGAAATTTCACCTGCCAATTCAGGCTTGAGTAAACACCTTTCTAAACCAAATAGTGACCATGCAAATGGGATATTCCTCGACATTCCAGAACATTTGATAGTTCTTGGTGATTCTTTTGTATTAGCTGTTCTGGCAATGACAGAACTCCCCTCCCTTGTAAGAGCCCAACAGCATTTAGCATCTCACAGGGTTTAAATGTCACATTTGAATATGTAGGTTGCTGTTTGGGAATATTTTCAAAAGTAAGATTAATTCTAGTGAGCATGTTGTCTGGGAAATGGGTGAGCATGATTCTGATTAGGAATTAAGATAGCGGTGCATAGAGCAATGTACACATTTTAAACAAGTATAGATTAGACTTTTCCCATCATGACACTTGAGACCAAATACCTCCTTCTTGGAGGGCATCCTTCTGGGCACTGGAGAATGCTTATCAGCTTCCTTGGTCTCTACCTTTCTGGTGCCTATTTCACACCCTCTACACTGTGATAGATAACCAAAACTGTCTTCAGACATCAGCCAATGATGGGCTAGGAGGATGGCAAAATGACCTGCCCGATAAATTTATTGATTTCTCATGGCAGAATTTGGCTTTTCATGTTTTTATAAGCACTGGGTCACTGACCCTCAATATTTCCAAATGTACTTGATACCAAATCCCTACTTTTGAGTCAGTAAAGTCTTTGAGGTTGTACAGTTATTCTCCTCCTCTTCGCTGGGAAGAGCAAGGTTGTCTTGCACAGATGGCCAAGTTTTCGCTACTTTGTGACCTCGGGACATTAATTATGTCTCATCTGTGTTTTTAATTCATTGGAGGAAACTATTCAAAGAATCAGTTATTCAAGCTGTATGACTTTGACTTTTTCTGTACATGAATTTCTGGGAAAGAGAGTTTCTGAGTTCCGTTCCTCCAGATGCACACATTTTTCTCTTTGCAAATCCTTGCTGCTTTAGCAGATGGCAAATGCTATATATCTGCCAGTCCTCCACCCATGCCACAAATACAGACAAATAGACTCAGATTGGAAGGTGTGAATCTGAGGTCACAGAGGCAGAGAACATTGTAGGCCATGAATTTCTTGGATCCGAAAGGAAAGTCGTATTTCTTCTCTTTTTAAAAAAGGTCACAAATACAACCAAAACTCCAGACCCTCAAATGCCTACTAATGATATTGCTAACTTCACAGTTCACACTTAAGACTTATACAAATGCATTACAAAAATATCAGAGGGGCTGGAGAGATGGCTTTTCCAGAGAACCTGAATTTGGTTCCCAGCACCCAAGTCAAGCACCTCACGACTTCCTGGAACTCCAGCTTTGGGGTATCTAACACCCTCTTGTAGTCTCCATAGTCATCGGCAAACAAGTTGACACACATTCACTTAAACACACACACACACACACACATACAAGTAAATAAAATCTAAAAACAAATCTTTGTGAAAATCATCACACGCACAAATTCCTTACGTTTTCAGTAAGTCTGTGATTTTGTGCTGGGCACACTCACCACTGTCCCCAGCTACATGGGGCTCCAGGTCTGTGTGTGTCGACCCTACCAAAGTGCCACTAAAGCTGGGATGCTAGCTAGCTAAAATAGTCAGCTGGTAGGGAAAAGCAAATAAAATAAAATCCAGGTACTGCCATTATCCTAAGGAATTGCATAATGGGGTTTAACATGTAATGAAATAATGCATCCCCCACACCCCAAATTTAAACAATTTGATGGAAGAAGACTGGAGAAAAGCAGACATTCATATTTGACTCCCCATGAGATAAATGAATGCAGTTTTCTACAATTAAATTGAACCTTAAGTTGTTAATGGACCATACCAAACGAGTACTTTAAATTAAAGTTAGAAGGTCTGGGAAGTAGCTCAGTAGGTGGAGTGTTTGCCTAGCGTGCACAGAGCCCTGGGCTCCAGTCCTGATGTTGCATGACCTGGCCACAGCTCAACACTCAGTATGTAGATGCAAAAGGATCAGGAGCTTAAGGTTATCCTCAGCTACCTAGGAAGTTCAAGACCAGCCTGGGATACATGCGACCATGTCTCAAATTCATTCATTCATTCATTTTAATTTTGACCTTTGAGCACATATAATCTTGCCAGTAATTCAAGGTTAGGGATTTAACGTGCAGATTTTCCCTAAAAACGATGAGCAATGAAGCCACTTGAAAATCATACTTGCTTGACTTAATCCACTCCCAAACAGTCTATGTTCGGCAATCCATTGGCTTACACTTCTTGACTTGGCACACTAGGTACCCATCTGTAGTTGATCAGATGGTTTGGACTGGGATGCAGAAACAATTACAAAGACACCCAAATTTTGGACCTGTGCTTTGAGCCATGGCCCAGATCATGTGTGTTATATACAACACTGCAGAATACATTTGATTAAGTCTATCGTGCAGGTAGGAAAACTGTGACATCAGAAGGTTAAATACATTCTCAGAAAGCTTTGGATGAATATCTGATGGAGTCCAAAGCTCTGAGTTTTGAGCCAACTCAAATCTTCCATCAAAAGCTCCATTAAGAAAAGCACCCCTTGCCAGGTGAAAAAGGTTTAGCCCTACTTCTGCTTTTGAAAATTCCTTGAGGCTGATTCTTTGATATCCAAAGGTTCCCCAAGTGTGTTTTAGCCAGGTCTTATTTTTCTCCATTTTACTTATCACTAGTTGAGGGAAGCTGAACATTTGCATTGTTTGAACTGGATCTTTTTTTCACACTTCGCTTGCTTTAATAAAGCTATCTAGGGACCTTGGAAATTGGAATTGGTCACCCAGCATTCTCTGAGCACTGACTTTGAAATGACTTCATTTTTCCCTGACTATTAACATCACTCTGGAAGGTTGAGGATTCATTCCTGTGTCTGTCCTGGAAACAAAGGATGTGCTGTCTTTCTGGACATGGCCTCATCATAACAGCTGGAGAATTAGGACCTTGCCAAATAGATAGGTGTGCTGGGGGCATCCTCCCCTCCTCCTCTTCCTCTTCTTCCCCCTCCTTCACCTCCTCACCCCTCCTCTTGATCCTCTCATGGAGACAGTCTCATGTAACCCAGGCTCACCTTGAACTCTCTATGTAGCAAGAGAATAACTGGTCTATCACCAGACCTGCTTTTACTCGATGCTGTGACTCAAGCATGGGATTTCATCCATACTAGGAGAGCTCTCTACCACTGAAACTGCATCCCTAGCTCTTGCCTATTGCAATATATATTTACATTATATATATATTTCTCCCTGGAAAATCAGAAGTCATCATCCGTTATTCCCTCCTTCCCCTTCCGTCCTTCTTTTCTTTCTTCTTGATTATCATTGCTGTTGTTTGAGACAGGTTCTCATTATGTAACCCAGGCAGGCCTTGAATTTAGGATGACCCTTCTGTCTGGGCTTCCTGAATGCTGGTCTTACAGACAGCGTGTGCCACCACTTTCAGCTCAAGCTGAACTTTCAGTGCTTGCCTAGCATTTGAGGGTAGCATAGTGCTGAGTTTCTAGTTTCTGCCTTTTGCTGTTTGTTTGCTATTACAATCTCAGATAAGCTTCCTCTTAGTTGTCCCCTGTACTGTGCTCAGCTTTATAGTAGTGAATTAAATACTAAACCACAAGGGTAATTAGCCAGTTTGGAGGTGAATAGACACAAGAGATTAGAGATAACAATTGCTATTTGTTTGTCCTTAGACTGAGCCTTGTGAAAATGTGGGCTTATTACTTCAGTGTTCTTGGGATAAATGGCTGTAGCTTAGGTCCCCTACAATGATGCACTCATTTGTGTACTGTATAATTATTTGGGTGTTTTCTATACTCCAGACATGCTTTTAGTCACTAGGGATTGAACAGAACACACACACTATTGTGCACATGAGCGCGCACGCACACACACACACGCATACACACACAGTCTCAAAAATTATTAAGTGTATATTCTAAGAAGTGAAGTGTTATTAAGTGTTATTTATAGGGAAGCCTATAAATAACAACAACATAAAGTCTAGAATAGAGATCTTGAAAGAAAGTGATAAAATGTATAGGTAAAACTAGATTAAGGGGAAAAGAGTAGGGATCTGCATGGAAGAGGAGAAGGGAACTATTGTTTTAAGAACTGAGGAAGTCTCCGATAATCTCCATTTGACATAGACAAGGGAAAATACTAAAGAAAACCAAGTGGCATCCAGAAACAGGATGCTTCTGGAGGCAGGAGTGGGCTGCATTTAGTGATTCAGAGAGGCCAGGCGAGCTGAAGTAGAGGAGGTAGAGACAGGATACAGGAATAACGGAGGGAATGGGGGACGGGGAGATAAACTGTGGTGTGAGCAGAGGGAGGCAAGGGTTAGATCCCCGAGAGAAAGATAAGACACCCCTAGGGAGGTATGGCGTGGGCTGAACAGGAACATGGGTTTATTTTAAAAGGTTGACTCCGGCTTCTGAATTCAAGGAAGGAAGCAGGGGTACCCCTTTCTAGGAAGCCATGTGGTGACGGGCGTGACAACAACAGCGGCTGAATAAGGACGACAGTGGCTTAGATAACTGTGGCCGCAGGAACCATGAGGAGGCATGGGGGGGGGCAGTTCCCGAGATATTTCTGAGCTAGAGCTAAAGTTAGCTGAAGTCTGGATATAGCATACAAAAGACATAATGGAGTCAAGGGACTGCAAGTTTTATGGACTAGGAAAATGGAAATAAGGTGTTCCTATTGTTTAAGATGGAAATATCTATAGCAGGAACAGATGCGTGGCAAGATAAGAGAGCTTCTGTCAGGAACCTATGCATTTGAGATGTGTGTTTGCTGTGATTTCACAATTCCGCTGATCACCAACGCAAGGAGACATCTGCAAACAGTGTTAGATGTCTTTAGTAGTATAACAGAGGGAAGTATGGCACTTACCAAACCAGAACCTTCTTCCTTAGCCTTTGGATACCCTCTCCAATAAATCCTAGAGTAGTGCTGCAATAATTTCAATTTGTGACACAGAACCAAAAAAAAAAAAAAATAAGCATAATTCTTCCTAATGTCAAGTCGTTCTTTTGCGTACATGTCACTCTTGATTTCTTTTCCTCTCATCCCTTCTCAGTGGTATTGTTGAGACATTTCTTTACCAAGATGTGGGCAGAAGGAGGAAATGAGGAAAGAGATAAATGATTTGAATAAAGCATGTTGGAAAGAATGAAATGCTGTTTGCTCTCTCAGTAGAGCAATATGAAGCTGGATGAGCATCTGATGCAATTCATGTTTAAAGTGACCTTTTGTCCATCTGTTCAGACACCGATCTCTGCAAACAGGCTCAAATATTTATGCATGTCTCACTTCTGGGGTGGGCTTAGTATCCACCCAAATGCTACTTGGTTACCCAGGCTTCTTCCTAAAATGTAGGATATTATTTTTTCAGTTCTCCCTTGGTATCTTGGGGGCTTGGAGAGTTCCAGAACCCCTTGCTGGAATCCCTATGTTCTGTAGACAGAGAAGTTTCAGTTCCTTTATAAAAGATAGTGTATTTCTATACAACCTATGAATGTCTTCCATAATCCTTTAAATCAATGTAAATGTCCTGCAGATATTTCTGTGCTGTTTAGGGAACAAGAACAAGGAAAAGTTTCTACATGTTAAGTGCAGGTGTAACTGTTTTCCCCCAGATATTTTTGATCCAAGATTGGTTGAATCTGTGGACTCAGAGTCCAAGGACATAGGGGGCCACCTGTGTGGTCTAGTTTACAGCTGCTTCATATACATAAAGAAAGATGTTCCCTTTTCACCAAAGGAGAAAGGGGGAAGTGTCAGACAGACGGAGAAAGCAGGGCAGGCCGGAGGAGACAATGAAAAGCACAGTGCGGCCATGTCTTCTAGATAACTGATGGGTGCATGGCTAGAGAGGGATGCAGTTCTGCAGGCGCGCACCACAGTCAAGAGACAAACCGACGAACTGCTTTCCTACAGAAGCCTTCCTGGTGGTGACTGAAGCTTCCCAGACCTTGGATACTAACACAGGCCACATCAAGTGGGACTGCCAAGGCTTGACAGCTGCTAGCTGACAACCATCTCCAGATGGCCTCGATCCCTCCCGTCCAAGCCCTTGTTCACAGTCTACTACCTTCATGTTTCAAGAAATTTTGGGTTACTGTTCCCACCAATCCTAGCTTGCCCATCCGTTACTGACTCAGACCCTTCTTATTTTTCTCCCTTTTGTGTATGTATGTGTGTGGGGCACACAGGAGCGTGGGTGTGAGTATTCAAATGTGCAAGTACATGTGCCTGCACGCGCTCCTGCACAGATGTGCACATGTACAGAATCCCCAGTCTTCTGCTGTTGCCCTTGACCTTATTCATTGAGTCAGAGTCTCAGACGAACCCAGAACTCTCCAATACAGCTAGTCTTAGCGAGCCAGCTTGCCCTAGGGATCCCTGTCTCATCCTTCTGAACGACAGGTGACCACTATGCCCAACTCACATTTACACAGGGCTGGGGTCTTAAATACCAGTTCTCATGTTTACAACGCAAGTGTTTTAATCCCTGAGCCACCTCCCAGTCCGCTTCTCAGACACTTCTTCACCTACCATTGGACTATCCGACTAAGGGTTTTGGAGCTGGTGTCTCACCCACTACCCTCTTTTTCTTCCAGCTGGTTCCGTACTTTTCTTGTAGGCAGAGTGGGTTCTTATACCATCATCATCAGTCCTTTCCTGGAAAGCACCAGCATCCTTACTGTCTTTAAGCCGTATTACAAACAGCCATAATGGGTAACCTGGAGAAGGACAGCAAGAGATACAAAACTGGGCAGTGGCCTTGGGCATGGGGAATGACAGGGTACGGATGCATAAAGAGGATCAGGCCTGGCAGTGGAACATGCCTCATACTGTCAGAACACCATTTAGCTATGATAGAATTCACCTGATACCATATTTTCAGATCTTCATGGGTGTTGTGTCTCTCTTGTTGAGGGGAAAAACTGTGACAATCACATCCTTGTAGAACAAAATGTATAGCAGTTTGGATGTTCAGATCTTCTGATTTCATGCGCTTTTGTGTTTAGTGTTAAAAGACATTTCTTCCTCTAGTACGAACTAGTTACACCATAAGAAGGAGCGTGGAGAGGGGAAGCTGGGGAACCCTGTGTGTGCCTCCTAATTCTTGGGGGGCTGCTGGATTGCAGGCATGAGCACTTCTTGCTCTTTGTCTCCCTTTACTTACCTGGCCCCGGCATCTCTCTTGATGGGAGAAGTCACCAACTTGGCCTCAATACTGACAGATGTTTTGAAGTGTGGCCTAACAGTTGACATGTGAATCACAGTTCCTTTCCTTAGATCTCTTTGGCATTTAGCATTAACAGATGGGCTAATGCGGATGGGGTGGGGTAAGGCCAAGAATGAGAGGATGGCCCAGTGCCCTTCCGGCTGGGATGATTGTGTCTTCCGTATCAGCTTTCTTCTGCACAGTTCCCTGGCAACCTCGTGCCTTCTGGGGTCCTTAACATTTTAATATGTGCCAGAGTCGTCCTAGCCATCAAGCAAGCCTGTCAACGCTGGCTTTACACCCTGGAATCACAGCTCTTATTTCCTACTGACACTCGTTTTTCCTGTTCAATGTTTTGGTTTTTGACAAAGGGAAGAAACGACTCCCACATGGGCGTGGACAGGAAGGGAGTGGATGTATATTTAGTTATAGTTGTTTCTGACGCTAATTCTGTACTGCGGCTATCTGACATAACAACATAAAGGCCAGGGGGAGCAGAAGTGTGGATGGAGGTGAAAAGGAGAAGAAAGTGATGAGCAGAAAAGGTGCGTGGCCTCAGACACGGTGCCCATGTTTCTTATTGTGGTTCAAAGAGACCTATGAAACAGGGAAAAATCTAGAGAGGAGCAAAGGGAGCTAGCAAAGGTGTTTTTTAGCACACATGTCTGCTCTTTAGATTTCTCCAAGCTCTTTAGAAAAGAAGCCCTTCATACTTTCACCCTCCTGGAATTTTGCCAAAGTCCTGTCTTCAATGGTCAGCATCACTTAAAATGTCACCTTAGGGTACATAAGTTGACAAATATTTTCTCTAAAAAATGCTACCTTTTGGAGACATCCAAGAAGACTCCATTGGGTTGAAAATAATGGTGATAATAGCAAATCTGTGTTATTTTTATGTTGTCTGCCCAAAATACGAAGAGTTTTTAATGCATTGCTTCCGTTAGCTGTCACATAACAGCCTTTCTCAGAGATACTGTGCCTGTCTTATCTTAGCGGAGGACAAGTCTAAGCCAAGGGGAGTTATGTATCCTCAGTAGTAGGGTGTTACAATGGCAGTTGTGGTACCAGCTGACGTCTGCCTGACTTTAAACCCTCTGTTGCGTTTGAGCAAGGTTAACCCCTTGTGACCGCTGTCATTTCCTGCTTTAGCTTCCGTGCATAACCTCCTCTTAGATAGACTTTGTTCTCTACTGGCTTCGCGGACCCACTCTGACTCTTGTCCATATTGGTCCCGAGCATCCCTCCAAGTGAGAAGACTTTCGCTCTAGCCCTCATGCTAACTGTGGATGACATACCTCATTGGCAAAGCAAAGAGTCAGGTCCTGGTTAGCTGTAGTTCTGGGCCACAGCCCTCCAGTGTGGCTAATATTTAATGGCTTCCTCTTCTGATTATCAAAACTATATGTGTGCCTTTCTTTCTGTATTACCTTAAATGTGTCATTGTGTGTCTTCCCAAGCCTTGAGTTTGAAATCAAAAGCTGGACCGGATAATCTTCATGTTGGCTCACATTTCAAGTTCGTGAGAAATTGACCCTCCATGAAATGAGAGCCCATAACTTACAGCCTAGGCAGGTCCCAATGGGTTAATATACCTCGAAATGGTCAAGAGAAAACAGGTGTGCTTTCAGCTAAGGGGCAATGTGGGCTTGTATTTATGTGATTGTATCTTTTCTTTATAATGCCTTCAGTTTCCCGAGTGTTGACGATACTGTCAAAAGGTGTTGGAGTCAGAACTACTAGCAAAGCTTAGGCACTCGCTTTTTAGGGGGCTGAGTTATCAGAGGACTCTGAAGGAGTCTTGCAAGGCATTTCTAGAAGGTCCTCATGTCCAGGCATTCCTATAGGGAGGTAGAAGTGAACACTTATCTGGCCTTACCCAGCTCCTTATCTTGTCTCAGGGGATACATGCTGCATTTAAATTAGTTTGACTCTGCGGCTTCCTACTTTTGTGATCTTGGGTAAGTGATGGTACTCAGGCCCTCAGCATCTTTGTCTATATAAAAGACTCTTAATAATACCTGAGCCACATGTTTCTTTGGAATTAAAAGAGAGAAGCTAATGTACTTTAGCCCAATGTCCTGTTCATATTAACAATTAAATAGGAGATGCCTAATCTAGTGGTTAGTAATTATGGACAAAGTTTATCTTTGTGTGGCCTTCTTGAATCTTCATTTGTAGCAAATTAGCTCAGCAGTAGCACCGAGAGACTCTAAGGCGTTCTTACTTTATGAATATAATATGTCGCTTATGGTGCTATTCTATGATGGCTATAGCTTTTCTGTGTTCATTCATTTTATAAATATGTTCTGAGTGGCTATAGTGCACCGAGAAATAAATTTAAAATGTGTGAACTGTAGTTACTCTCTTCCGTCTTTTCCCATATTCCACATGGTTCTCTAGGCCTGTTGCTCATCAGACTTCGAAACTGTGACCTCAGGTCTGAAGCCTTGTATTTGCCTTGTTTCTATGGTGGAACAGCAGTTCTAGGCAGTTGTCCTTCTGCCTTCCCCAGTGCTGTGACCCTTGGGTATTGTTTACTTCATTTTTTGCTGTATTGGCAATGGCAGGCCTGAGCCTTGCCCCGTCATTGCATCCTGTCTGGTGGCATACCTTGTGGGTGACATTTAATTTTGTTTCTCTAAAGGTAAATTGAAGCTAGAATCAAAACCTTCTTGTTATGACCAGTAATTTTAATGTAATAGTTTATGTATTATTTTCAAATTCTGTAGGATCAGAAAAAGAAAGTGATAAATACAGGTGGATAGAACTCTACCCACCTGCCTCAGAATGGTGTTAGCCAGCTGACTGCCAGCATCACTTAGACTAGTCTCACTCTGCTGCTAACAGGCCCCAGTACGTGACATTCTCTTGGCCTTCCAACCCTTGTTATTTTCTACCTGAAATTAGTCAATCCTGGGCTTAGAAATACATATGAGTTGGACAGGCTCCCTCACTATACATTTCACATCAACACCACCTCATCAGTCAAGATTGCAAATCAACAGCGCGGACACTGAGCAAGGGCTGTCGTCCTGGACCACTCACTAACCCGCATCCTTCAGACATCTGGTACAGTTAGTTCCGCCAGTCCTGACCTACATACAGCCTCCCAGACCTGAAACCTTCAAGCTCCACCCACACATTTTCCCTAAACACACCTGATCCCTACCCTCTTCTTCTTACCTCCACATCCCCCTCTTCTTCCTCCTGGGTTCTTTGTGATGAACTTGCCAAGTCCGTGCGGAACTCCATCGTCATGGCTATGTCCGCATCCTCAGCAAAGGTACAGCCCGGAGAACTCCTTCTCTTTTGGTGTTCAGCCCTTCTCAATCAGGCGCGTGCACCAGGGTTGTGTTCAGACTTCTTGATGATGAAGGAACCATCACCCTTAGCACAAGTGAAAAGACGAATACAAGGATCCCCCTAAGACCAGGGCTAGTGCACCAGACCCACATCCATCCTCATAGACAGAGCTACTTCTCTAGAGAGCTTAAGCCTCAGGAAGAAACTAAGAACACACTACCTTCATCTTGAGTTTTATTCCCTCCCCATTGGAGCTGAAATGCAATGATTTCAAATTTTGGACCTTAGTGAGTACTAGGTGTCAGCACGTCTGAACACTGCCCAGCCCGGAACATGCCCTTTTTTGAATGGCCTTGTGGAAACAAGCTTGCAATGCCAGGCATTCAGCTGGCTGACCTTGGTGCTTCTGAGTACCAAGCAGTGGTTACGCTGTTCAGAATCTTGCTCAAATTTGGAGGGGGGAAGGGAAAGAATCAATCTCTTAAATAGTTGAGTCATTTTCCAAGAGGAAAAAAAAAAGTCAGTATTACTGGCACACTCATAGGATATTTCAGCTGCAAAATGTAAGGAATTAAATGTTCCCAGGAGCAAGAACTTTCAGATATGTAGCCAATAAATAACAAATTCTAGATGACGTACTAAATATAACGGCCATGTCTTGGTGACGCAGGCTGATGTAAATGTCATCTTTGCCTGGGAGAAGACTGGGAATGATCCGATGGAATTTTCCCCTGGAATGCCAGAGTTAGAACCTGTATTTATTTGACTCTCACAGTGAGGGCTCCTTTATGAAGTCATAATAGACCCATTAATAAGCCTGTTAGGTTTGAGTATTTCTATGAACAGCTGCTTTTCTTCCTTGGTAATTTAGTAAACCTTAAATGGAGAGCGTTTGCTGTCAGTTGACACCTTGAGGGTTTCCTAATCACTTTGAGATCTTAATAATTCCGGGCAAATAACATGTGTGGTGAATCATGCCTAAGCCTTGCATTCGTCTTTCCTCTTGCCATTTGCATTCAAGTCCCCTGCAAAGAAAATGCACATAAAAATGGGCAGAGGGCCGCTAATCTATGTATTGAAGGCATTACACTTGGATCGTTCATCACTGGCTCGTTGGCAATAGACGCTAGTGGATTGGTGTCCTGCCTCGAATTAGTTATTGACAGCAAGACTCTTGATCACTTATTTTTTTTTCATAGCACTGTTATTTTTTTTTCCCATCAGAAATATATTGACTTGTACTGGAACAGCATTGTGACACTGTATCCAAAGCATCGTGCTTGTACTGTTGTGCAAATACCACTTGCTTTGGCTCTGGGAACAGTACCTATCGCTTTTATTGAACTGTGTTGGGGAGTTGGGATGGCTAACCTGTACAAGTCTTAGGGCTAATAGCATCTTAGGGCAGTGGCTGACACGTGGTGAATGTGAGAACGTCGAGCCTTTTCTAATTCTGACTCTGGAGATCATTGCCTACTTTTACACTGAGTCTTCTAATGACGCTGGCACTTTATTATCTGCCTCATGATTCCCTTCTCCTACTTCCCATGGAGGGCTGGCTTCTGTGGACAGCTTGCATACTGAAATGACTATTCCTCGAGATATATTTGTTCTACGTCCACTGTCTATTTGATGAGCCAAAAAAAAAAAAAAAAGAAAGAAAGAAAAAAACCTAGTTTTTTACTCTAATCAAGCATTGTTCCCTGTGCTTTCTCTCAGACCCGCTTCCTACAGGTAAAACCCTCTCGCCTCTTAGTGCTTTGCTCCAGTGTGTGCCATCTCTTAAAGCGGTAGCAGATGTTGTCACCGTCGGTTCAGCTGCCCAAACCAGAAATCTGAATGTCACATTTGCCCTTTTCCCTACAAATGACCCATAAGGTACCTTCTTCCTACTTAAAAAAAGAAAATTCAGCCTTAACCTACCAAGTTTCTCCACCCAAGCCTTTCGTACACTTCTCCAAGCTGCCGCCACCTCTCGCTAGCACAAATAGGCTGACTTCCCTCATGGTGCCCTCATTTCCACTCACCCTGTCTTCACATCTAGTACTTGACTCAGTAATCAACGGAGAAGTTTTGAAATAAAAATTAGATAATTCCTTCCCCTGAATTAAGGCTCCTCAGAGATTTCCCATCACGTGCCGAAAATAATTCAGTCTCATTTTTTATGACCCAGAAGCTCGGCTGGTGTAGCTCGGTGGAAGACCACAGGGAGCCTTCCTCTAATCATTCGAGCTTATGTGTTTCTTAGAAGTCAGCTTATGAATATTCATATACAGTACCTACATTTGTCATCTTTCAATCAACGTTAATTTCTAGTACTTGTCTATGAGCTCCCTGAGGTCAAGGACTATGTCAATTTTGTTCTCCTGGTATCTCCAGTGTGTTCTATAATTTCTAACACATGGTATATACAAAATAGATGTTTTGTTCACTAAGCAAATGAACTTATCCCAAACTGTAATTATGACCCCATCTTTTCTTGTTGAAGTAACCCTTTAAAAATTATGGATTGGTGACTTATAATAGGCAGTATCCTTGTGCAAGTCTTTAGCCATTCTCTGAGACTGAAGTCCTAAGAACCTTGTCACAGAAGCCTTTGAAAAGAGTCCTCAGTGTTCTACATGAATCCAAACTCTGTAGGTTAACTGTCACAGGCTTTGTTTGGAAACAGACTTTCTACTCGCTCTTTCCAAATTGTAAAATATGACAATTTCCAAAATAGGTACTCCAAATCATATATTCACGAATATTTCACATCTTAAAGTAAAAAGTTCAAGCCAAATGTGTTAATATACATATTTTAAATTTCTCTGCCAGTTCAATTGAAAATGGTTTGTTTTTAACAGAGAAGCATGTTTGACACATGTATGAATGCTATAACCTTGAGGATGTCTGGTAATAATGATAAAATTAGTATTAGGCTCCTTGTTTGACATGGAGTTGTTAGTCTATTAGGGCATCAAAGGGCACTCTGGTAACTTAAGCCAAAACATAACAAAGTTATTGGGGGAAATAAGAAACATGAAGTCAAGAAAAATCTAATGGGAAGTCTCTTTTCATTGAGACTTTACGTTTTAGTCTTCTTTCTTAAATTTACCCTGCTCTAGAAAACAAGGGGAGTAATTTAGGTAAATTTGTATTGGGAAATAAATTGTCTTTAAAGACCTGAACCACCAGTTTAGGGTGGCTGTAGTAAGGACTTTGTAATTGCTAATGAGGCCTTGGATGTTGAATGTCTCAGTGCATCCATTGGGGCCAGCCTCTTGCCTGTTCTACTCGAAGCTGTCACATCAGATTCTTGTCCAGACTCCATGGGCACTTTGATTCCTAAACCTTTCTGAGAAACCTAATCTGAAATCAAAGTCAAGTTTCTTAGATGTGGTCAGACAAGGTCACATTTAAAACAGCTGAGTGAACCCAGAGATCAAAGTTGAAAGGTAATGCCTCCCTCCTGAAGTTGGCACCGACTTACCCACCAGTGAACCTTTCAGGGTTTTTTTTTTCCCTGCCTTTTTCACCTCTTTCCAAAGGGCTGGGGAAATGAGAGTTTTTTTTTTCCCTTAAAGAAATAGCTGTAGGGTTTCCTTAAATTCGATCTTTAAAAAATTGAACACGGTCATGTTGGAAATGCCCTTTATACCAATCAGTGAATCAGGAGACATCTTACCTAAAGTGTGTTTTAGTGTTCTGTAGTGGGATTTCCCTCAGGAAAAATAAAAAGCCATAGTAATTTCAGATCATGAGGTTTTCAGGTTAAATTGTTACAATCCTCCCACGCTGCCATATTCACCAACATGTCACACAGGGCTGTTGCCACTATAATGCATAAGGGTTTTTGTTTTTTTCCCGTTGCTATCTTTCTTCCCTGTAAGGCTTTGAATTATTCTCCAGATAACTCTGGAAAGAAGGAGGTAATGGTAACTCTCATAGACATGATCTTATCGTCACATTACACTTTTGGGGCTTTTTTTTTTTTTTAAATCAAAGTCACTGTGATTAAAAAAACAACAACAACCTTGCCATTGCTTTATATTGCAGTGTTCTGTCTCTTGTGGTCGAGGGCATAAACAACGAAATGTTTACTGCTTGGCAAAAGATGGAAGCCATTTAGAGAGTGATTACTGTAAGCACCTTACTAAGCCACATGGGCACAGAAGGTGCCGAGGAGGACGGTGCCCCAGATGGAAGGCTGGCGCATGGAGTCAGGTGAGCAACGCTTCTCCTCTACCCAAACGCTCCCTTCTGTTCAGCCCCATGCCTGACACCAGCACGTTCTCTTACGTTTTTGTCTGTGTTGTTCTCATCTTACAAACCAGGAAGAATCTTAACCTGGGCAGCCTGGGTGGCCTTGGACAAGTGACCTCAGACAGCAGAGCTTTGGCTGTCCCTGAGTGGTGCAGTGGTGAGGCTGAATCTCACACAGTGATAGACGGCAGGTGCTGTAAGGCAGACTAGTCCTTCGGTATCTGGCTGGTGGCCACGTAGAAAAAGCCCAGCGTAGGTTGCACTTATGTGAACTGTTGTCACCTGACCAGAACTGAGGCTCAGTTTACTTTGTAGATTCTCAAAGTGCTTTCTTATGACTGTCCTGGCTTACCTCTCGGAAAGAGCCTATGGCAGGGAGGGCGTAGTTGGAATTACTGTTTCAGGGGCTATCCATCTATCGCAGGGAAGGCAAGGCAGCTGGCAGAGCGCAGTCTGTGAGTCAGTGTTGGGCAGGGGCACAGCTTTTCACATCTTGGCTGCCAGGAAGCAGAGAGACAGAGCTAAAAGTGGGACGGATCTGTAACCTTCAAAGGCAACTCCAATGACCTATCTCTCCAGTAGTTACACTTCCCATCCCAAAGGTACCACAACCTCACAAAAGAGCACTGCTGTTTGTGAAGTAAGATGACCCTGTGGGACAGTTCACACAAACCAGAGCAATGACAATATAAAATACTAGCCAATGTCTCTCTGCCTGTTTGCTTCTTTACAACTGAGACTGAAGACATAAAGGGAGAGTGTTATATCATTTTGTAGCTGTGTAACCTTGGGTGGTTTGTTTTACCTTCCCTGGGCCCATTTCATGTGGTCCTTAAGAGGGTTTTAGCTCTGTCTCTCTGCTTCCTGACCTGCCAATGATCTGCAACCAAGTGCTCTGCTCGGGGGGGGGGGGGGCTTAATACAGTAGACTTTCAAGAGCGATATTTTGTTTGGATGAGGGTGATATATGTAGGCTTTAGAAGGGGAAGAGAAGAGGAACCCAGGGCATCAATTACAGTCTCTTGTTGAACCTGCAAAAGCACCTTTAAATGCTTGGCGGATTGGAGTCTCTTGTACATACTCATTTGAGCAGGTCTCACCACCCCACTGCCTGTATGCTTTCTCATCGTGGTTTAAGGTACTTTCTTGAAAGGAACAAGATTCGATTTCTTCGAAAACATTCTGTGCTTATTGCTCAGCCTTCTCTCTGGAGATCAGATTCAGCAGGCGCTCTCCAGTTGTCTCCTTCTCTGATGCCGCGGTGACTCATGCCAATGGCTCCTAGGGATCAGTAGAAACTAGGCTCAAGGTGGGTGGCCTCGGGAAGAATTCCTCCAGCTTTGGATGCAGCCCTATTAAACGCCGGAAGAGCTGAGGGTTTTCCACTTTAATGTTCTAGTGGGAATCCCTCTAGAAATCTGGATGTTTCTTGAGTGTCCTTCCAATGACATCATTGCTCTCTCTACCCGTGTTCCACTTTACAAAAGAATCAGCGTAGCGCATCTTTCCCCAGCACAGTCGCCTTGTCCCTCTCGAGGCTTGTGGCATAAAGAAACATCTGGGTTTTGCTTGTTGGCTTTAATTTGGCAATCAAAGAATCGGCGCTCTGTCTTCCTCTGGCTTCTGTCGGGGATCATGTTCAAGGCAGTGTGTCATTCTTGTCGTCCCGCCTAATGGTTTCTAAGTGGTCATTATCATCTTCTGACTTCCAGCCCTTTTGTTTTTGGAGCTATTCAGTCCATGCGAAGCCCGCAGCTAACATTCTTTAAGATGCCACACTAATTAGGTTGTCCTCTTGTAGGCTTTCATGCTCTGTTACTCTTCATTCTGTTCCTTGGCCTTTTCTTATCTACTTATCTAATGCATTTCCCCCAGAATATTAAGCTCAGGGCATGTCAGCGCCCTACCTCTTAAAGGCTAATTTATTCACTAAAGAGATGAATGAAAGAATCTTTGGCTCTTTATTGGTAAACACAGACTGAGTTTTACTACAATATCCAGGAGAAGCCTAAAATTGGTTATAAACCTAGGATGGTTAGGCCTAAAGACTTTCTTGTTTAGCAGACATAGATAAAAAGTATTATCAAAATGCCTCCCTAGAAAGAAACACACCCACGTGTTCAAGACAATCACTTAAAATGCATTTGTAGGGGTAAATTATAAGAAGAGGAAAGACCTGAACATCACTAGAGCCACTGACTGATGGAGAAAGATGATCTGCATGATCGCTAATTATCCTTTGGCAAACAAGAATATTCCTAAGGCAACAATATTAGCAAAAGTAACGAGTGCTCACTCACTACAGTATTTAAATTTTATATCTCTGTGTTCTGCTAATAGCTATACTCCAGTCATCTTGTCTTCAAGGTCTGAAAAATAATTAGAACAGTTTTTCATCATGTCAAAATGTCTGATGATGAGACACACTGAAGTTGGCACAGGACTCTACCATACTTAATGATCCTTCGCCAAATGCAGTGTTTTGAGATGGTGGTTTCATTTCTGGATCCTTCGAAATCTGGAAGCTGTAAAGAAAGTTTACTTTAAAAAAAAAAAAAAGATCCTCACTAAAGTCTTAAAGGATTTCTTTTTCCCTCAAACATTCATGTCTAATTTGTTTGGATGATCTTGACCAAGAGCTAAGGGATGCTGATGAAATTTTAAGACAGAAATTGCCGTTGGGTTCTTGAGTCAGCTGCTGTGAAGGCTTGGTGCTCTCCTGGGACCAAAGCCTTCCAGGGAAGAGTTTGTCAGGATTATGCCAATCTTCTAGGAAGCCCTTTCCCCATCTCTAAAATGATGGGGAAAAACATATTGGGTTGAAAGTAATACTTCCTTCATTCATCAGTTCAGTTCATTCGTCATCACTCCTGAGCCACCGGCCTCTTTCTCAGCTTAACACCTTTGGGGTCAGAAGGGCCCTTACAGACCATGGTGGCTTGATTTACTTCCTTACCGACGTAATACGGAACAGAATGCTATAAAGCCGTGGTGCCTTGGAGTCATAGGAATTAATTTTCAAGTGATCTCTGTCTGAAAATGTAGAAATGAAACTGGCAGTTTGCCCTGAGAGTCAGCCACCATTCTTGAGGGTGGCTTTTCCTGTAGTGAGAAGGAAGGCAGCCTGATTGGGTGCTGGCTGCAGGAGCATCTCCCGCGGTCTCTGGAAATGGTGGTAACTATGCAGTTGAGGAATTAAGGAAATGACCCTATGGTGGTGGTGAGAAAGTGTTGCTTCAGCATTTTCTGTTCTCTTGGTTCTTAGGGGTTTTAGTTTAGCCATGAGCCTTGATGGTGACCACTGCCTGGGTGTGAGCTTCCCGTCCAGCTTTCTCTGGTCTAGCACTGTGTCTAGCAGTCATGGCGGCACTGGGTTTTAAAATTAGGATCCCAGTTCTAATCCATAGTGGCATTGCCACATTGCCTTGCCAAATTTGATTTTGATTCGAATCCTTTTTTTTTTTCTTCTCCTTCAGCTAAGGTAATTGTCTCTGTTCTTCTTTTTATTTATTTGTGGAATATCTATAGAAAAGGCTTATTAGAAAATAAAAATTATTTTATAGTAGATGCTTAATACACTGCTGGTGACCCAACAAGAGGTAATTCTATACCACATGAGACAATTAGCAATGTCTGGAGATAAAGGAAAAACGTGCCCAAGCGTCTACAGCACTCAGAGCATCCCTGCAAACAAAGAAGCGCATTGCTGAGCCCCTTATATAGAATCCAGCCTATGGGATGCACTTGGTGACAGACTAGTGGCTGATGTTATTATTTATGAAAGTTGATTTATATACCTATTTTCAAGTTAGTTTCCGCCTTAAAATAAATGGTATCATTGTAATAGTAGAAGAAATTGTGTGTGGGGGGGGGGGAAGGCGGGGGAATCCTTTCTAGTTTTTCAAGTATCTGTTGATTCCCCAAACATGAGGAATTTCACAGAACTTTCTTGTTTGTTTGTTTGCTTTGTTCTTTAAATCTACATTAGTGTCAAGTTCTGCTTAAGCCAGTGAGTTCTGCAGTCTGGCTTTGCACAGCAGGGAACTCAAAGAGATGGGGCCTGGCTCCCAGCTCAGCAGTCTGCCATGAAAACATCTCCTTTGACACCCTTTCAAACAGCCTGGCCTGCCAGGATGATGGGAGGGGCACGTCCTAAGGGCGCGCAGATGTCCTCTGCCTTGGAACTAAAAAGTTCACTGAGCCTCACCAGATGCAGGACCGTGCTGCGGACATTCTACTGTTGGGTTTTTTTCTCAGGGATTCGGCACAAATCTCTCAGAATTTATCAAACAAGCAGCTGTCTCTACACATAAATTGTCTTTCATGGACCAGCGCAGGAGAATGAACCGCGGCTGTAGCGTACCTCATTCTGCACAGATATGACAACTGCGTTATCTAGAAAGGCAGGGTTTGCTCTGTACTCTTCATTGAAGGCATGGTGATAGTTTTTAATTAATAAAATGTCATTTCAAAGTTGCCTTCAATTTTATGATAATCAGAAGCCAGAACAACATACTATATGATAAAAAATTTCCTGCGCCCCATTAGTCTTACGCAGAATTATGAAACATTGTAAGAAATGATTATTAAAACCATAGCTACTGGTGACTCTTTGTACCTTCCCTTCGCCTCCCTTTGGGGTTTGGCGGCCTGGGGAAATAGCTCAGCAGGAAAACACATGCTCTGCCAGCATGAGTTTAGATTTTTGGCACCCAGGTCAGAATCTGAGTGCACACCCTTGTAGTCCCATTGCAAGGGAGGCAGAGCTAAAAAGGTCTCTGGTGCTCGTTGGCCAGCCAGTGCAAGCTGTGAGCTCTGTGTCCAGGGAGAGACCCTTCCTCAATAAACAGGGTGGAGAACTTCTGGAGACCATACCCCACACTGACTACGGGCCACCATACACATGCCCACAGACAACAAAGGAGTTTCGTTCATTCAACAGCCGCATCAGTTCTCAATGCTCTAAAGCTCTTTCCCATCTTCTCTGTTGTGAAAACATGATGTGATTTTTCAACTTCCATCAGCTTTGTATCAAAGTCCAGTGTGCTTACATGATTCTCCTCTTTATATTTCTGGTTGCACATTGTTCTGGATGTGTTCTCTTGGATTTAAGGGTCCAGATTCGACTATCCAGAACTCTTTGGCTGTCTTGGATGGCATTTGAATGTTTCTGTCACTTACTGGGTAACTCTGCTCCCAGTCTTTTCCAGCACCGCCAGTGTGAAGCATTACTCACGTAGACCCTGTGAACATTAAGTGGCTCTTGTGTGGGGACAAAGCCATTTGTGGCATTTAAGAGTCCTTGCCTTCTCCCAGAACATAATGACTTTAAAGTCTGGTTTCTTGTGGGTCACAAGCTCATTCAATTCAATTAATCCAATTAAACCCAAACAATAGCAGCAATGTTGGGACTAAGCATTGTCTTCGGCTCGCTTTGATGTGAGCTACGAGCCTCTTCCCCCGCATAGATTTTTCTGAAACAATGGGATTTTGCAAGCTGCCTTCTAAGTAAAGCTTAAGCTGCAGAAGCATCCACTTGGGTATACATCTTGACAGAATTTCCATCATTTGCAGAGCACCTTGAATTTTCCTACCAGTAAATCGGGCAAGCGTGCAATCACAGTAAGGAGCCTGGTTCTGTTCTAAGAAAAGACTTCCTCTTGGCTCTAAGGCATGAATGTCTGATAACTTTGTTTTCTCAGCACCAGGCAAATTAATAGAGATTGAGTTATACCCCCCAAAATTGCTAATAACCTGTAATAACTAAGTGCATTATTATGCAGTTCTTTCTAATCAAAGGTTGCCTTTGGTTTCTGACCGCCAAAACCGTAATAAAGACAATAATTCTTGGCTTGCCCATAAGTGAGATTATGCAACCAGCAATGAGGAAACCATTAAAAAAATTAATTTAGGAGAAAGTTAATTCATGTTTTGTAACTTGGTCAACAAAATGTTTCATCATGATTAATGGGAATTTTTCAAGGGCTGAAAACATTAAGTCTGAGGAAATTATTTTTCCTTATTAGCTTTTATTCTTCATCTATTCATTTGAGATTATAAGTAGGCAGAGATTCTTAAGAGAATTCCATGATTTAAACAAACAAACAACAAGCAAAGCAATATTCTGTCTCCAGAAATAGAAACTAGAAAAAAACCTAAAGGGGCGGGAGAGTATCATTCTACTTGTATGGCCTTAATCACCAACGGTTGGTTCTCTGCGACTTGGACTCTAGAACTGTCTCTCTGTTTTCACAAGCCATACACCTTCCAGGCTATGGAAGTCATGCATGGTTTTTTTTGTTTGTTTGTTTGTTTGTTTGTTTCAATGTGGTAGCGTTACTTCTGGGCTGTGCCATTTCCCCGCGGTCTTTCTATCCTCTGTCATCCACTGAGCACTTTGGTTTATCCCCACTTGGGGCTCCTGCTCCCGCTCCAGCATTGGCAGTGAGTTTCCAGCTTTTAGACATGACCTTGGTGTCCCCCTCCTTGGGAATGAGAAAGCATTTTGACTGCTGTGAAAATCATTGGATTAAGAAAGCATTGCCCTCCTCTGCGACCCACCCCTTCCCGCCCTCCAGCATGAGCCCAAGTGCCTACTTACCTTCCTGTGTCTTCTCAGTGCTCTGTGTCCTGTGGCCAAGGCGTGCAGCAGAGGCATGTGGGCTGTCAGATCGGGATACACAAAACAGCCAGAGAGAGTGAGTGCAGCCCATACACCAGACCCGAGTCGGAGCGTGTCTGCCAAGCCTCTCCATGTCCTCTCTACACTTGGAGGGCAGAGCAATGGCAAGAAGTAAGTAGAGCCATGAAGTAAGTGCGCACCTGCCTGCCTGTCGCTCCGCCCCCTTGTCAGAATCATACCCGCACCCTATGGAGCCAGCAAAGCCATTGAGCACAGTGGCATTGCTGGCTCCTTCCCAACAAGTCTGCTGTCAGCCTCTAAGCAATTCCTGTGTATGTCTCCCTGTTTTCTTGAAGGTTCCAGAGCTGTCTTCACTGAAAGGGTGTGTGTGTGTGTCTGTCTGTGTGTGTGTGTGTGTGTGTGTGTGTGTGTGTGTTGGGGGAGGGGAGCTTTAACATGCCTTTGGCCAAGAGTATAAACATAGGGTCAACCTGCACAGGAGAGGAGATGGGAGGAATATTTGAATACGTCAGTTTGGATTTGGTTGTTCTGTGTTAATTTAAATAGCCATAAACTGCAAGTTCCAGCCCTTGGGGTAAAACCTAGGTTTTGTTTTCCTCCTTTCTGTGGCACAGACTGTCAGGGAGCACAGATGAGCGCTCATGAGAAACACTCATTAATTAGTGTAGGACTTCCAACAGTTTCAACAATAGGTGACGTCCAAAGAACTGTCGAGTTAATGCAAGAATAGGCCAGGCTTATTTGTCCTTTACTCCACAAGTTAATGCTTGACTAAAGCAGATGCTGAAGTATCCATTGCTGGAAAGTCTAGTTGCTGGGAGGTGGCGGCAGGGGGGAGGGGGTGTAAGACATTATAAGAAGGTAACCCCAGTTTGCAGAACATAATGCTAGACTGTAGTGTAAGAGGGGAACAGAACTGGGAAGTAAACGTAGACCTGCTAACATTGGAATGAAATAAAACATGCACCCTGCGTAAGCGGGGAGATGAAGGACTCCCCTGCTCTGAGAGTTGGCTCTCAACTCAAGGCAGTGAGGTCATCGGCCCGCACACTGCACTGGGAGCTTCTGTCCATCATCTCGCTTTATCTCCTGAACAGCTGGATGAGGTGAGACTTGGCATCATCCCTTTCGTCAGGTGGTAAAACTAAGGCTCAGACAGACTTTGCTGCGAGTCCAAGTGTCCCACATCTAGCACTTGGAGGCAGCCACACATGATGCTGTTTGTTTTCTTCAGTCTCCAGGATTTCCCCACTGTATTCTGCTCCCCTGGGATCAGTGTCCCAGCCCCACCCTTCCCCGTGGTGAATCCATTCCTTACCATAGTGATTCTTTAGGAATTCCTCCTTCTCCACCGGCCTAGTCTAGGTTTCTCATTTCCCTTCTGGATTTTTCTTGGCTTCTGTCAGACAGTATCAGGGAGAATACCTAAAGCAGTTAAATTTCAGATCGTCTGAACTGGAGCCAGATAAGTTATCTATCGGGAACTCGGATGCTCAGAATAATATCATTGTGGTCCCTATCTCAGCTCTGCCATCAGTGGCCCCGTGACTCAGAACAAGCATCCTTCTGTCTCTGAGCCTTGGCTTGCCTCCTGGAGAATGGGAATGGTAGAGTTTGTAGCGTTGTTTTGAGGAACTGGGAAAGGCCACTTATCTGTGCTCAGCTGCAGTCCTGGGACTGGCGGTGTCAGGTAGAGAAGAGGTTACCTCACCTCCCTGATAAAACTTGCCACTGTCTTTGGAATTCTTACCTAGGACCTGTCCCTGCCCATTTTATCCTCCTCATTCCTCACACTGAACTCTCTCCTGTGTCTCTGTTCCAAAGATCAGGAAGTGAGAAAGGGTTCCCCGGTGAATCTAAGCTAACTGCTTACCCTGTAGCCAGCGTGCGAGAGTTCAAGAGCCAACCACGGAGAGTATAAACTCCGTTCCCAATTCCTTCTGATTCCCTTAGGGTAGAAAACTGCACGAGACACGCCCAGAAGCTTCCGTCTTTGCTTTTACTGTGCAGATGGCCTTTTGAAAGTCTTCCTCAAATGTTGCTATCAAGCTCCATATAAAAAGACCAGAGCGGTGGTGCACACCTGTAATCCCAGCACTCAGGAGGCAGAGGCAGGTGGATCTCTCTGAGTTCCAGTCCCACCTGATCTTCATAGTGAGTTCCAGGGCAGCTAAGGATATATACTGAGACCCTGTCTTGGAGGAGGAGGAGGAGCAGGAGGAGGACAATGACTTGCGGCCTGGTGGGGCTTGTATTTAGGAAATTCAGCAGAGATTAACCATAGTCACGGAGTGAATGGGCTCTGTAAATGCTAAGAAACCAGGTTCCCGGCTTTACCCTTCCTCTACTGTGCTTTCCCGTACGCCCAAGGAGGAGAGTTTTAAGGGGCGCCAGGTGGTGAGGGTGGCTGGGAACCCATAAGGGGCACAGGGTTGGAAAGTGGAGTCCACGGTAGCAGAGGAGAGAGAGGCCCCATCAGACCCTTTGTGTTTCCCACTCGCAAGGCATGGTTGGCGGCTACTCGAGATGTCCGCAAGGCATCAAGACTTAGAGGGAAGGTTGAAAACCACTAGGCAGCTGTCTTAAATTACCACGTCAGGGATGCCACAGCCTCAGTCCCACTCACCTGCAGCAGGGCTACGCTCAAGACCAAAGATGCTCTCATTAACCAGTAAGTTGGTGCCCAGTGCACGATGCAGGGCTTCCCTGCCATCTCGTCCCTGTGTGGGGTTGCCCTCTAGGGACACCAGCACAGCCTCCCAGCCAATCAAATGGGACATACCTGAGCTTCATCTCCCAGAAGCGTCTTTCTTTCCTAGCAGGCCTTGGCAACCTCTTCTTGTCCTGTTTGCCTTTTGTCTACACATGCCCGCCTTTTGCTCCCCCTTTGTGTACTATTAAGACTCAGTAGGTCTTTGTCAAGATGAATTTCCTACGAGGCCCATGAGCAAATGACAGCCCTCTCTCACTAAGAAATAACCAGGGCACCGGAAATGAGAAGCCCGGCTTTTGAGCGTTCATCTGCAATGATTATCTGGGCTATTTTATCCAGCCGCAAGGACTGCGAACTGCACAATCTCAGGGAGTGCTTTTCCTGTAGCGTCCACCGTGAAAAGCTTCCCTGGGAGTTGTCTAGTTCAGAGGTCCCACACCGATAATACAAAACACAGTAGAACGTAGTGTTTACTAAGAAATGAACGAGGCATTTAATGATTATTTTACATGAAGTAACCCGTTGAACTATCTCCTTGACTTTTTGATGCAGTCATGTTTTATCCCATTAATTTGAAGAAAGGAGACACTAAGGCAGGTTAATCCATCAAAGGTCTTGCATGAAAAGCTAGAATTTGAGGCCTGGGAGCCTGGCCTCTAGAACACAAACTATGAGCGTTTCTGTTCTTGGTTCCTCATGTCAGCATGTCCCTCACCCGAGTTATTTTCCTTCTCAGTGGTGTCATAGCCTTTTCCTGGAGAGTTGGTTTCAATGTATTGCTTGCTTTCTGGGGTTGCATTCCGCCTGCTTCTAAAGTCACGCTCCTCTGTGCGCTTGGGCAACTCTGACCTACAAACAGTAGGAAGGCTCTGGTGTTGGTGCCTGTCTGTTCAGGGCAATGCCTTTGGCTATGCCAGGGAGAGAGTGGCAGCTGTTTAAGATGGGGGCTTTGTTTTCCAGCATTTAGTATAGTCCCCACAGGACACAGGATACCAGTGTGTAGTTGGATTTAGGGACCGAGGGACAAAAGCTGTTGTGGGGAGCAGGGATGGGGGTGGGCAGGCCAGGCCTCTTCAGATGAAGAATAAAGACATTCCAGTGTCTTCCGGAACAATGTTCCTTAGCCAATGTTCCTTCTGGAAGGGCAGCGGCTGTGTTTTCTTGTCACAAGGCCATGAACATGCTGTGACTTTGCAGAACTGCCTGGCCTGTTGCTGTTTGGCCCAGAACAGGCACTGGGGCCTCTCTAGTGCACATTTCAAATTTAAGAGCATTTATTACACTCAGCTGTAGAACGAGTTCCAAGTTCATCTCCTTAGAATAGAACCGTTGGAATGAGCAGCAGTTCCTTGGTCAGCTGAGTGATAAGATTTTCATGGCCTTTACAGCAAAAAGCAGAAAGAGCTAGTTGTGTTCGGAGTTAGCCCTTAACCCTTTTGTATCCATTGCCTCTTTCGCCTATTAAATCATATGTGTCAATCACCTGAAAATTACCAGGCACTGAGCATTCGGAGTGTTTTGTCTTTGTTTTTGTTTGTTTCTTGTTTTTTTGACCCCAAACCTCAAATCCTACACCCTAATCTCAACCTAAGGCTAAATGTCATGGTGGCATGTGCCCACAGTCCCAGCAACAAAGAGGCTGAAGGGTGGTAAGTGGGAAACCAACCAGGACTGTATAGGGAGACCCCAACCAAAAAAGAGCTGAGCAGGTAATAACTCAGTGGTAGAGCTTTGGTTGCTTGGCTACCATGTTAAGACCTTGGATTCAGGCCCTGGTGCTACGGAAAGGTTAAAATGAGAGGAAATACGATTGAAACCCTACCCGCTGGAATCCTCACCCCTATGCGTGCTGTTGCTGCTAGCCTCCGTCCTTGCAAAACTTGAGAGGTCCTGTTCCCTTCTGACTCTAGCTAACTCACTTCTTCCTTCACCCTTTTTCGTCAGCTGCCACATCTCCCACTTTTACACAGGAGGCCCTTGGGATCAAACCTCAGTGGTTACTTAAGGGACATGGGAGACCCCAGGCAAACAGTGGCTGGCTCCCTGGCTGTCAAGCAGGAACAGGGGCTGAGTTAGAAGAATTGGAAGCATCAAGCTGACTGACTCCCAGCACAGACCTGTGCCCATTGCAAACGTTAGTCAGATGGGTGATGAGAGACTTCAAGAACGCCTCTGTAGCAGTGCCTCTGCCTCTTTTTTGAATGTCTGCTTTTTCTTTCTTTTAGACAACGATAGATGAATCCATTTGTCCTAACCTTTCCTTGGGACATAAAAACCCAGCAAATGCAACCCAGTGTTATCCACCCGTTGGGTCTATGATTCATCTGCCCATATGCTTCCTAACACCAGCAATCTGCTGCCAGAAATGACA